ACGTGTGTTCGGAGATTCTTGAGATAAAAGCTCCAAGCACCACCAGTCTCTCCCTCGACTAGGGCAAAGGCAATTGGGAAATGTTGTTGTTGCCATCTTGTGCAACTGCCATCAGTAGTGTGCCTTTGTATTTCCCATACAACCAAGTCCCATCAATTTGTATAATTGGTTTGTATGAAGCAAACCCTGTGATGCAAGATTGAAAAGCCCAAAACACTCGACTGAATATTCCATTTCTGTTGAGTTGACTACCATCCGGGGCGTACGCTGACACTGTTTCCAGAATGTAAATAGTACCCGAAGAATAAGTCTAGAGTGCATTCAGGTAGCGAGGAAGTTCTTGGTATGACTCCTCCCAGTTTCCATATACATTTTCAACCGCCTTGGTCTTTTCTAACCACGCCTTTCGGTAAGACGGAGTATAGTTAAATACCGTAGTGATGTGGGAGATTATGGTTTTCACCTTCGATGATGGATCGTTGTTGATGAGTGGTAGAATTTCTTGACATATGAGATCATAACTTAGTTTCCAATGATCCTGTGATTGAGTAGAACTGACACACGTGTGGGTAGACATAGAACCTATTACCCAAAAATCACCTCTTAATCTGTATGATGCAGTGAGCTTGAACATACAATCTGGGTGGACACACTTGATCTTGTACCTTTCTGAGTTTACACGGTCCACCTTAAAATCGAACGAGTTGAGCATGTGAAGTTTTTTGATGGCTCGAATACATTCTTCTCTGTTACGAAACTTGTCTTTCTCTTTTAAGTTTTCATCCGACTGCATATACGGATTGAAAAATAAATCAGAAGATGGTTCATCTCCGCCCATGTTGAAGTTTATCATGTGCGAAGGTGGTGTGTAGATCTTGTTTGAAGGAATACCAGGTATCCCATCGTCTTCGAAATCATCGTTGACCATGTCGTCAAACTCTAACTCGTCATCTTCTTCTTCTTCATCAACGACATCTACTTCTGCTTGTTCGGTCTCCAGATGATCAACCACTTGTGACAGTTGAGGCTCTCGCAGCATAATGTACAACTCAATAGAGTCGTACCCAGAATACTCATGACTGGAAAACATATTCTGAAGGTCCTCGTCATCTTGAACCTAAAACTTATAAAATATTATTTGGTTGTTACAAAAAAAACCGGATTCTGATAAAATATTTGTGTCACGGGACCTCGTCCATGTTTGGCCTCCAATCGTTTTTTAAAGTACAAGAAATTGGCTTTCCTGTTTAAACAAAATTGGATGCTCTCAGTGTCTCTAAATAAAAACCCAGAGGTGGGACAAATGTATGTCTCACCTTTGAAATGTGCATTGATCACATATTGGGGTGCATAGGCCATTGTGTATGACTGTTTGAAGGTTTGAAGGTTTGAACGTTTAAAGTTTATAAGTTAATTGCTTGAATTTTTGAATGTTCTAGTGTTTGAGTGATTAAGTGTAGGAGTGTTTTGATAAATGTAAGATTAAATGGGTTATACTGATTTTGAATAAACCAACAGTAAGCACTCTCCAAGGTTGTCACCTAGCTTGCGCCTACACTGCAACCCATGCCAACCTCTAAGGCGCCTCCCATCACGTCCAATCGTGTTACATGCATGCAGAGATGCCTTCTCCAAGGCTATCACCTAGCCCGCGCCCACACTGCAACCCATGCCACCTGTTATTCGCCAACAGGGATGGCGACACCTTTCATTTTTGTACTCTTTCGCCAAGTCCAATGGCGCCTGAAACAACCGGCTGAAAATCATCAAAACAATGAAGTCGCCATCGAACGTCTTTTATCCCACATGTAGGGAAAGGTAAACATTGAGTAAACCTGAGAAGGGTGAACTCGAGGTCGAACGACCAAGAGATAAGGGTAAGGGAGTCTGTTACGCGAGGGGAAGGTATTAGCACCCCACACGCCCGTAGTACTCTACGGTATCCACTCTTGTTGTCTGTCTTATGGGTGTGTTCAATCTATGCTTACGGTTTATTACTGTTGGAGAATGCATGCAAAAGAAAGGGGAAAAGAATGTAGGGAAAATAAAATTGTGCTCGTTCGGGCCCTACCCCGATGCCTACGTATCCCTTTTAAGAAATCAGAGCAGCTGTAGTTCGGCTTATGTTTTTGTTTGTTGGTATTTTTTCTATGAACAATATTAATTTCTCCTTCTGCCGCAACTCGACCTTTGGAGACTTACGCGTCAGCACAGAAGTGAATTAACATGCTCTCTTGAAAAGTTTGGAAAAGAAATGTGCCTGGACGCACAAAAGTTTGAATTTGTTTGTTTTTGAATGAACGATAGTAATTTCTCCTTCTGCCGCAACTCGACCTTTGGAGATTTACGCGTCAGCACATAAGTGCATTAACATGTTCTTTTGAAAAAGGTTTGAAAGGAAGGGCCCGAAGGCAACAAGAGTTTGTATTGGTTGGTATTTTTGCTTATAGATAATAGCTAGTTAATCTCAAGAGAGAGATTTTAGCCATGTCTCTACTTATTCATGAAATGAGTCTTTGAGACTTGAACCACACCAAATCTTAGAATAAGAGAATAATAAGGTCTAGAAGAAACCCGCTTATCATCTCACATACTTAACGAAGATATGATTCTCGTCAGTAATTTTTAGTATTTTGAAGTTTTGCGAGAAAAAGAAGTTTCTTGTTTTAAATGCATATGTAAAGGGGGAAAGAAAGTCACATGAAGACTAGCTTACTTCTAAACCTAATTCTATCATGTATTGTTAGACCTAAAGTTAGAATTTTGAGGGAATTCTACCTAATGTTAGCACGCGTATGATTTGCGATGAAGAACGAAAATGAAGAATAAAATAGATTTGTGACGATACCGAACGGAGAAGGTCCGTTGCCTCTTCAAAATTGTGCAAGCGGTAAGGAAATTCTATCAAAGTTCCCTTGGGCAAGTGATTGAAGAATTAACCCCGAGCATTCCACATTGCAAGAGTTATGTCGATGCTACAAAAATCTTGACTAGAAAATGGCAATAAAAATGATTATCGAATATGAAAAATAAAATAGAAAAAAATTCTAATCGAAATTCTAAAAAGAAATTCTAAAGAATTCTAAAATATTCTATTATTTTTATTATCAATTGAGAGGAAAAAATTAAACTAAAAGAAAAAACTAAAATAATAAAAGAAAAGAAAAAATTAGAAGAGTCGGGAGGTATGAGCTAAATTCAGGGGTGTAGTGCAGTAATTTGCCCAAAAGAGTTTTTTTGTTCAATTTTTTCAGGCTAAAAAACAACAACACGGGCCTAAAGCAAAAAGTGAGGCCCAGTCTAAATAATTCCTCATTTTCCAGCATATTTTATAATTATCAATTTAGTTATAATTATTATTAATTTGAATTAAAAAATAATAAAACAATTAAACTAAATAAAAAAACATATGCAATTGGAAAGGGATTTAGGGTTTGATAAAAAAATGTCTCTTCCTCTCCCTTACAAACAGAATCGGCGCCGTTGGTCTTCTTCCGTCGCCTTCTTCTTCATCCATCAACGGTGGCGCGATCTCTCTTCACACTCTCACCGCCTTCGCTTCCTCGTCTTCTCCGATTCTGTTGCGATTTCTTCCTATCATCTTCTTCGATTCACATTCAGTTTTCTCCGTCTCTGATCATTCGTTTCAAACAAACGAACACACACAGTAAAAGGCTATGAGAAGAAGACGAATACAAGAACCTTACTTTCCAGAGAACGTTCGATGCTTCTTCAAGGCGACGAATCAGGTATGCGATTTCATTTTTCTTTTCCTCTTCATCTTCTACTTCGCTTTCTGATTTGTGTGTATCTGTCTGCATGTTATTACTCAGTGAAATTTTTTTCCTTGAATCCTTGTGTGAAGTTGTTGCGGATCATTGATGCGATGAATTCGTTGTTGTTGTGATGTTGCAGAAGCATATCGAAGTTTGTTGAAGAACAATGTAGTAGTTTGAAGAAGATTAACGATGATACGATGAATGTATGAAGATGATGATTAGACTGAAGCAGGAGATTGGCGAGAATTTCAGAGGGAGAGAGAATTCTTGTGAAGATTTCTTGGTGGTCATGGAGAAGGAAGCAGAGGGGAGACGGTGGAGAAGAAGTGGTTATTATTGAATTATAATTGAAGGAGATGAAGATGAATTCAAAGGGTGAATATGGAAGAGGGTGCCGAGAGTTTTTTTTTGTTGCAGGAGGTTAATGCGGTTTGCTAAATGCTGATGAACATAGAAAATGAAAATGATGAGAAGAAGACGATTTACACCAAAAATGAACCAGTCTGAAGCTTGAAGCAATAAAAAAGGCTCAGCAATTTGAAGAGAAAAATAAAGGTAAGCCTTCAAGCTTTTTCTATGATCTTTTTTTTTTAGTAATGAATTCTGATTTGATGCAGAAACGCTGCCACAACGTGTTGTTGTTGTTTGAAGCAGGGGTAATGAAGTTGGTGGTGTTCATGGTTCTGTGATGAGGATTAAGGAGGTGAAGTTATGGTGAGGATCATCGCGATTGAAGAATCGTGAAGATTCAAGTGATGATGAGGATTGAAGGGAGATGAAGATGATGACTGAAGCGATTTTCAGAGAGAAAGGGATTGAGAATTTTTCTGGAGTTTTTTGTGGATGAAGATGAGACACCTTCTTCTGTGGAATTTCTGACCCCCCCCCCCCCCCCCCCCCAACCAAGGTGAATTTACTCTATCTTATACTGTAGAGCTGTTAGGAGTTTGGTTATAAAATTCTGTTATGGAATTAGTTAAAATTAGTTGTCAAAAATTCTGTTATGAGGAAGTTAGTTATTGGAATTATAGAGTTAGTTAGAAAAGTTGGCATTCTGTTAGAAACTTTGGTTAGAAGTTTGTTATGGTTACAAGTTAGTTTAAGAGGAATTCTGTTAGTAATCTGTTTTGGAATGGTTAGAATTCAGCTTTGTTACAATTTCTTAGAACTGAACTGTTAACTGTTTATTGACTTTTGCTTTTTAATCTTTCTATGCAGGGCCTAGCAGATGGATGGGTAAAAGTAAATTGTAGGGAGTAGAGTGCACAACGGATGCAGTCCATGAGTTGTCCACCGTGCAGTTGCAGCAGCCACCGTAGCAGCAGCAATAACTATTGCTTCATCAGTATCAAGATGCCTATCAAGTTCTTTTCTACCAAGGAACTCTTGAAGCTTAGCCTATAACTTTGGCACTCTGGTAGCACCTCCAATTAACTCTACTGCATATATTTGATCTGCTGCCAAGCCAGAATGCTCAAGCAACTCTTCCATACAAATCACGAGGCCAATTCCTCTTTACATTATTTGCAATAAAACTGGAAGTCTTAGCCCTCAAGGCACGAAGCGATCCATCAGAGTCTGCCACATTGTCCAGACAAGTCAGATCAACCTTCAAGAGGTCTGGTATACAAGCTTGGACACGAGGAGATAAATTTTCAAACACCTCAACAGAAGTATCAGGTTCTCGAGGATCTAGAGGCGAAAATGGAAGTTTAGCAACCTCTCTTAAAGCATCAATGTGATTCCCAAGTCTTGACAATTTGTGAATTGATAATATTGACTCAAGTTGTCTTAACTTCAATTTAATAATCCACCACAAACTGTAGTGAAATTGTATACATAACTAATTGTTAATTAAATATAAAATGACACTGCATTTTCGGTCTTCTTAACTTCTTCTTTGCCTTTCCTTTTGTAAGCTGTGCAATAGCAGAAGTACACAAGCATATACCGAAGAGTGCTCTGGTATTCTTGCCTCCGGTTAAGTCAATAGCGGATGCATAGTATTTCTTGGCAGTTTGGACATTTTCTAATCCACCAAGAGTATAAAGTACATCAGCATAGGCTAAGTGATAAAGTGGAACAGTTGGTTGAGCTAATATCACTTCCTCGTAGCAAAATGCTGCTTGTTTATACATTTGCAGGGATAAGTATACTTCAGCCAGTTCCCTCCATGCATCGTCATCTGCCATGAATATTTCCAGATATTTATTAAGCCATTCAATAGCCCCAGAAATATTGCCTTGTGCCTTTGCCATAGCCACCCTCCTCTTATGGATGGTTTGATCAAGAGGATTATCCTCTAAAAGGCTTGTGTAAGCCTTTTCTGCCATTTCCCATGAGCCTTTTGCTTCAAGCAACATTGCCTCCAGCCTGCCAACTCTTTTGCTCTCCGGAAACCTCTTTCGAAGAACCTTTGCACAGTCCTGAGCAACATCAACACATTGACAATCCATAGCTGCAACAACAACCTGCTCATACAAACTCCATTCTTCGGGACCGAGATTGGATCGGAGTTTGGAGTCATTCAAGATCGATAAGCCGTGTTTGAGGACTTTACCGGAACGGCGTTGTTTGAGTTTTCTGACGAGTGAAAGATACTCCCATGCTCCTCCGCCACCATTGTCGACCTGGATTTCTAGATTGTTGAGTTCAGATTCCTCCGTTTTCGTTACCATTCTTTGCCTTTTACTTCCTTATTGATGACCTTATTCTTTGTGGATGAGTTAAGTCCAGTTGAACTTTTTTGGGTGTTGACTGAGGCAAAATTTGATGCAGGAGTCACTGTTGAAGGCCTAAACTGTGGCATTTGTGGAACTCCACCTGCCTTTAATGTTGTCTCTAAATTCTATATCATTGGCAACATGAGAGCACCCATTGGGCTGCTCATAACTTCATTAGGGAGCTGAAGAATATAATCTGGAATTGTACCACCAACCAAAAAATTGTCCAACTTCATTGCTGAAGTTGTTGCAATTGTGAGTAAGCAAACTATAGGTTTCAGCCAAGTAGCGCGGACTGATTTCTTGCGAATGCATTTCAAAAACATCCTTTGGAACATGTGTAACACCTAAATCGACCACCTTAAGTGGAGTTCCATATGGTGTTGATCCAGCAGGACAATGTTGTATGCCACCACCATAGTAATACTCATTTCCATAAATCACAATTCCTGTGTGCCATATGCCTTCAATAGCTTTCCCCAAAAACGACATTGAAAGCTGTCTAGCAAGTCCTTGGCTTAAATCATAAACATTTAAAGCAACCCTGTAACCCTCCTCAGCCGTGTGGTGCAGTTCAATCAAATTTAATCAGCCACAAAAAATAAACACTTGAAGAGAATTCCAAATACTTCACCAGAACCGATCACAATAACCTTTGAAAAAATCTCGCTAGAGGAAAAGGAAAATAAATAAATCTCGACAAGAGAGATAACGAGGAGAATATAAGGGCAATGGAGTGAGGAAGAAGATGGCGAAAGTTCAAAACACGTTTGTGTGAAACAAGAAGAGACGAGATATGAGAATGAAAGTATTAAATTTTCTTGTAAGGTATTGTTACACTTGAATGAAATTGAATGGAATTGGATAGTATTTTCTTGAATCACGAATGAAAGGGTTCGAATAAACTTTGAACACACGTGAACTTGAATCTGGAATAACGATGAACATCTTTGTAATGTGTATGAACTCCGACTTGAAACAAAACCTCGCAGTCTGTACTTTACCTTCCAAGAAAGCCATATGACCAATACTTAAGACTCTTTGCCGACTTTAATTCAACCAAACACTTTCGAACATCTTGAACTCAAATCAAACTTCAAATCCAAATCACACTTGCATTCTCAATGAACTCCTAACTTCAATCTTGAATCCCAAATCAACTTGAATGACAAATAATTTGAATAGCCAATAAGATCTTGATCCTAAAAAATTCACAACCTTGCCCTTTTGTATCATGCCTCATCCTACGATTCAATCCACAAGTCTCTTATCTCGATGAGGTCCTTCTCTAATTGACGACCTTTAATCATCAAAGATGTACACAAATGATAATGAAAGAACATGATCGAGATTAACATGAAACCTTATTTCCCCTGATCTTCAATTACTTGAACATTTATCAATGAATAGAAACCCTGATTTTTAATGAAATCTTCCTTTTCTGAACCAATATTTCTTTTCCTTTACCATACTATTCTTCAAATGCAACTCGAATTCCCAACACATATTAGATGAAAATTCAAGGGAGACCTTGGCCCCAAAGTTAATTGTTCAAAGCTTACTTTAACCGAAGTCAACAGATCTTATCCTCGTATCTTTGAACTTGGCCCATGATTATGCATCTCAAGGTCTCATAAGAGCTTGTAAGCCCACCAACCAGGTATGCCATGTTAGTGACCTAATGAAATAGATGCAGATGAATGCAAAAGTATAAGCCAAAATAAAAGAAATTAGGAGGGCAAATTTTGGGGTGCAACAGCGCCTACCTTCACATCCAATCGTGTTACATGCATGAAGAGATGCCTTCTCCAAGGCTGTCACCTACCCTGCACCTACACTGCAACCCATGCCAACCTGTAAGGCGCCTCCCATCACGTCCAATCGTGTTACATGCATGCAGAGATGCCTTCTTCAAGGTTGTCACCTAGCATGCGCCTACACTTCAACCCATGCCACCTCTAAGGCGCCTCCCATCACGTCCAATCGTGTTACATGCATGCAAAAATGCCTTCTCCAAGGCTGTCACCTAGACTGCGCCTACACTACAACCCATGCCACCTCTTATTCGCCAACAGGGATGGCGATACCTTTCATTTTTGTACTCTTTCGCCAAGTCCAATGGCGCCTACCTTCACGTCCAATCATGTTACATGCATGCAGAGATGCCTTCTCCAAGGCTGTCACCTAGCCTGCACCTACACTGCAACCCATGCCACCTGTTATTCGCCAACAGGGATGACGACACCTTTCATTTTTATACTCTTTCGCCAAGTCCAATGGCGCCTCCCTTCGGGTCTAATCGTGTTACATGCATGCAGAGATGCCTTCCCCAACGCTGCCACGTAGCCTGCACCTACACTGTAAGAGTGACACTTATCATGCATGCATGCACCCACCTACCACCTCACTTACTCTATGATAAAATTTTGCCTATAAATACAGAGCCTCACGTACTTCTATCGCATCCACAATCGTCTCACTCTCTGCTACAAACTCTTTCATAATCTCATACAATTTCAAACTCTTTCATAATCTCAGACATTTTCAACAATGGCTCTTCTCACAATGGACGATTCTCACAGAGGCACAAGGGACAACATTGCAGCGTTTGTAAGTTTCTTGTATACTTATACATTTTTCATACTTCTATTAATGCTTTATTCATCTTACCTACTCTTACACTTTTTACATTATTAACTTAGGATACTAAGAGATTAAGAATCCGATCACACAACTACCTTGCTCCCGACCCGTTGATCATACCCTATCTCGAATACGCAGGTTTCAGAAATGTTATAAAGATCTCCAACTGCACGATTGATTCAAAGTTCATACTTGCAATGTTGGAAAGGTGGAGACCAGAGACCCATACATTTCATCTACCAACAGGTGAATGTACCGTCACACTAGAGGACGTGTACATGTTATTGGGTCTCCCTGTCGATGGTAAGGCGGTTAACGGGCCGGTTCAACAACCCAATTCTCTGTGTGAAGAATTGTTGGGTAGGGATATGGTTGAAGGTGGTGGTGCGAGAGGTCAGGGTATACTACTTACTGAGCTAAAAAATCATTATGCGACTCTGAAATTGAACGAAAATTTCTCCAAGCTAGCTAAGGTAATAAAAGCTAGAAATTATATAATGATACTATTTGGAACCTTTTTATTTCCCGAAAGTACAGGAAATAGTGTAAATTTTATGTATTTAAATTTACTTAGAGACTTCGAGAAAACTAGAAAGTATAGTTGGGGTTCTACTGTTTTAGCCCATCTATACAGTTCTTTGTGTAAAAATGTAATCAAGGAAAAATGTACATTTTATGGCTGCGCTTTTTTACTTCAAGCCCGGGGTTGGTGGAGGATGGAGTCCCTAAACCCCATCAACAACAACACATACGTTTTCTCATACGCAACAAAGTAAGTCATCAACTTATATCATTTATTACTATTCATCTCTTCACCAAATATATGATAAAAATAAAATATTTTTCAATTCCTTTAGGTACTGCGTGAGGGGTATGGATTACGGCAAGAATCCAAGATTCAATGTCGCTCTATACCGCAATCTATTAGATCACCTTGGCCCAGATGATGTACGTCATACCTTTCAACTTTTCTACTTTTAAATTATTTATTTATTATGTTTTCATTAACCTGATTTAATATTATCCGCAGTTTGTCTGGAGACCATATTTGGGTTTGGACCATGAATCAAATCCCGAGGATGCAGCAATTTGGAGCGTAAAGACTGCAATCGTACGGTTCAGTGTTGTGGAGATGCACCACAGCGACCGTGTTAAGATGAAGTTTGGAATGCATCAAGAGATACCCGATGATCTGACTTGTTTGTCCCCGTGGCATCTCAAAAGGGTCGACGCCCAATGGGGTCTTACCAACTGGAAAGATTTTGCTCCAGAATGGTGTAAGATGTGGCAGAGGCGTCACCGACATGTCTTGCAATTCTCAGTTTTCCTCAACCATGGTAATATGCGACACACGGATTAGTATTTATCTTGGTACAGATCGGTTAGTATCCCTGAAATGCACGTGTGTCATCCAAGGTATTTGGTTGACCCATGAACACAATGGGCACAACCCTCATTTCCCCAACAACAAACCCAACACACATCAACCTCCCACTAACCCCCCTGACGAAACAGAACCACAAACACCCAATCACAGTCACCATCATAATACAATTACAATCACATGCCCCACAACTAACCACAATTACCACCTCAGTACCAATACCCCCATATGCCTCACAACCAACCACAATTTCAATCACAATACCAATACACCCGCATACCCCACACACAATTTCATTCTTCTGCATATCCCAATATGGGCCCCTTAACATCCAACCTTAGCCCTGATATGGGATTGTCCGAAGATTATGAACCAACCGACCCAACTTACCATCAACCACAACATCACCAAAACACCCAACATCCTCAATACCAAACACCCCAAGATCCATTTCCTTTCTACCCCCGTACTCAGATGACCAGTGCTACAAACCAACCATGGAACCCCACCCACCACCAACACGACCAAACTTTGAGGGTATGGGCAACCGACTGTACCAAAGTAGATCTTTTAGATATGGAGATCTGACCGATTTCATGGATCTGGAACGCATTGACTTCGTTGGGCCATCGACCCTGCCACAAAAGGAAACACGACGAAACCCAACACGGGAAAGGCGAGGACGGGGATGCGGAACCGGGGGTCATTACCCAGTTTCGGGGGACTACTGATTAATCTGTATTTTTTTATGTAATCGTTATGTGTGTAATCATATTTTGTAAATAAAAAGTCAATTTTGTTGATCCTATATCGAATGCATAACGCACCGCATTTAAAATAAAAAACACGAAAAATCGTCTCCCAATTGCACTAAGGCGCCATCTAACTTGGCTTAGGGCAAACCTTTCACACCTAGGCGCCATCTAACTTGGCTTAGGGCAAGCCTTTCACACCTAGGGGCCAAGTGAGGTGGCGCATCCCCTTTAAAATAAGGTGTAGGCGCCAACTGAGTTGGCTCCTCCCTTGTAGGATTTTCTGAAACATGATTATTTGCGTAATTTTCTCGGAAACATAGTTATTTGCGAATTTTTTTTTTAATATCTAGTTATTTTTTTTAATATCTAGTTATTCCAAAAAAATATTCTAATAATTTGATTAATAATATCTTTTATTACTAGTTATTATTCTATTCATAATTATGTGACTATAAATATATGACATTGAGTTTTACCATTTTCTACCAACAAATTTTTGGTGGTGCTTTTTGAATTTTTTTATTGTATTACAAATATTGAAACTTTCCTTTTTAATTGATATAATTTTTTTTAGTTTACTATTCTAACTTTCTTTATATTTATTTATTGATTGATTTGAATATGATTTTTTTTTTCTCTGTGGAAGCACAAGAAGAAGATAAAATTTTATTGCACGATTGTTGACAAATATTGAAACTCTCATTTTTAATTGATATAATTTTTTGTTAGTTTACTATTTTAACTTTATTTATATTTATATTTATTTATTGGTTTACTTAAATATGACTCTTTTTTTATGTGAAGCATAAGAATATGATAAAATTTTATTGCACAGTTGCTGCTGTTTGGGAAATATATGAAATGTTGGTTTAAATAAGTACATGTCTTTAACCCTAATATTTAAATTAGTTAAAACTTTTTTTTATTGATATATGTAAGATTGTTATTTTATATTTTTTTTATTGGTTAATAGAAATATAACTATTTTTTTTATATTAACCAAGAATAAGATATAAGAGACTTTCATTTATTGAAATTGTTGCATCATTGTTGCTATGGAGGTTTATAAAATAGGCATCCACATAAATACATGTCCTAATATTTGAATCACATAAAATTCTTCTTTTTATTAATATAATTTATGTAAGCTTTTTAAAGCAATTATCGTATACTAATAAACAAAAAAGATTGCACATATATTATAATGCTATATTTATACACATTTAGAATAAAAAATTTATATTTGAACTTTTATGATATATTTCGTTTTATGACTCCTTAATTCTCTTTGGACAATATCTAATAGTTAAATTTTTTTATAATAAGATGAGTGGATTACATTTTTTATATTTTTTTCTTACGATAGAGAAAATTATTTTTTAATTAATTATATAATAATATTTAATAATTTAATTTATAATAGTTATAATTTTTCTCAAATACTCATTACACTCTCTAATCTTTGAATTTTTATATTTAATATAAATACAATTTAGAAAAATCAAGATTAATGAGTTTTTTTACCAATTTGCTTACAAAATGAAAAAAATCAACAGAAAATTAGGTATTCTTAAAAACTACATAATATTTCTAATTGAATAATATTTTACTATTTTCTTTAAATCTATAGCTATAATTTTTCTTAACTAATTATCTCACTTAGAATCTATGTGTTTTTGGCATTTAGTATAAATAGGGAAAGAGATGCATGATTAATGTCTTAATGACTTTGATGTATTATTTTAATATTTAATTATTTTTATGAATTTAACAGTTATAAATTTATTTTGACAGTTACAAATATTTTTAAATAATAATTTTTTAAGTTTACTATAATTTATAATGTTAATTGACGTAAATTTATTTCAAAATACATTTATTGTATAGATATTCATTCAAAGAATAATCCTGGATCAATTTTTTAAAATTAATTTATTAATTAAAATTTAATATTAATATAATAGGTAAAGTAGTTAAAAAAATGAAAAAATAGTTAAAAAGCTGTCGATATAAAAAAGAAATATACGAAAAATAATGTTTAGAAACAGTAATACACAAAATTACCAAAATTAATAGTTTTAAAAAATAATAAAATAAAATATAAAAAATTATTGTAATAAGTGAAATATATGTATGTTTTTATACGTGCAAAATTATAATCAAATAAAATTTATCCGTATATTTTTTATTTGACAAAAAAAATATTAGTTGTCTCACGCTTGAAGTACTTTTTTACGTTTTAATTTTATTGAAATTAATATCCAATTTAATTACATTGCGATATTTTAAAATTATTTATTCAATGAATTATATTTATAAAAAATAATTAATTATTAAAAACAAATTTAAATATGTATGCTAATAAAATCTGTACACATATTATTATATACCTACTCTTAAAATATTATAAATTTAACTTTCAAAAGATTTATCAAAAAATTCTTAAATAATTCAATTTTTTAGATAAATAAAAGATAAAATTATATAAAAAAATAATATTAATAAAAAATATGTCGATATGATACAATTGTTTTATGTTAACACTAATAATATAGTTTAACATGTTTATAATAAATTAAATATAATAAGTGTTATAATTTTTAATTTTAAAATATTCGTATCGATCAAAAATTAATAAATTATTAATTTTGGTCGTAATAACATTTTAACCGTAAGTATATCGATTTTTATATTTGTTAACATATAAATTTTGTTTCAAATTTAATATCTAAATTATTTGTTTAATAATAACTTATTCTCTCACAAACTTTTCACACATTCAAATTAGTCTTTGAAAATTAAGCTTGTAAAAAATCTACATAAATATATTTAAAACATAAAGTAAGAGAGAAGAGAAGAATATATTATCTTCAATCTGAACAAGTGAATTCCACACAAATCAACACTGTTACATTGTTTATTTCCTGTGTTACAACAAAATAACTCATCAAAGTTAATATTAATCACTTCCTCTCTAGAAATCCATCAGCATTACGCTTTACAAAGCGACAAAAATGGAAGCAAAAGCCATAACAGCACCAATGAACCCAAACGTGGTACGAGAAGAAGCACTAGGAGCAGGTGCATGTGCACCAGCAACCTCACTCTCAGGTGCCTCACCCACCACAGACGCGGTGGCTGAAGCAACATTTCCAGCAGCACCAGAAACTATCTCTGGTGCTGCGTTCACTGGAGCAGAATCAGCCACCTTAACAATAGGTTGCGAAACCTGAAGAACTGATAGGACTCCAGTTTCAGTCTTAACGGTTCTAACAAGCTTAGCATCAAAAGTTGAACCAGCAACAGCTGAACCAAATGCAACTTCACCTTCATTAATAAGTGCCACGTAGATCTTAGCGGCTAAGCCGGAAGCCGGTGAGAGTGTAGCCAATTCTGCATGGCTTCCAATGGCTTCAAAGAGTTTCTTTTCATCGTAGAAATCGGTTATAATGTGGGTTCCAATAACGGTTTTAACGGCGTCAAGTGATTTACCAGAGAGACCAGCGATATCGGTGTTATCGATGGTGAGAATTGTAACGGCTTTTGCAGCGTTGATTTGTTCAGCCAACTTGGTTTCGGTTAGGTATTTGTTGAAAGTGGAGAATTCTGGGTTTTGGCCCAAAATAGTTGTTATGTCAATACAATTAATCGAAGAGAAAGACAACATAAGTGCCATGCACAAAACATAAGAGTTTCTCAAACCCATGTTGTTTTTTTAATTGTTTTTCTCTTATTTGGCTTGAGAAACTCCGAAACCAAGTTGGTGTGTATGGAATTGTTCTTTATGTGTTTGTATATTATGTGTTTGTATATTGTGTATTTATACATGTGTTGTAACTGAATTTGTGATCTAAAAAAGGAAGCATTTTTTCTTTGGATGGTTTAGCATGCTTTGCGTAAGTTAATTTTGTGTAATGTCTATTTTTGGGTGAAGTTTGAATGATGAATGGTAGTGTAGAATGGGCATGGTGTACTTTCTCTAAAATTAGGAGTTTGGTTTATGTAAACAAGAAATTAATGGAATGTTTGATTCAATTTTGTTATGTTTTTCTGAAATTTTTTAAGAATTAGTTTTTAAAACTCTTTTTAATAATAAAATGAAATAAATCTCGTTTGATAATTTGTATTTTTTAGAAATAATTTTGAAATAAAAAAATTGTTTGGGGGACTTGTTTGAATTTTTTTTTATAATAATCAGGTATTAAAAAAATCGCAAATAATCACGTTTCAGAGAAAATTACGTAAATAATCATCTTTCAGAAAATCCCACAAGGGAAGAGCCAGCCCAGTTAGCGCATACACCTTATTTTAAAGGGGAGGCATCATCTCACTTGGTGCCTAGGTGTGAAAGGTTTGCCCTAAATCAAGTGAGATGGCGCCTTAGTGCAATTAGGAGGCAATTTTTCGTGTTTTTTATTTTAAATGTAGTACGTTACGTAAACGATATATGATCACGAAAATTGACTTTTTTATTTACACAATATGATTACACAAAACGATTACATAAAAAAATACAAATTAATTAGTGGTCCCCTAGAACCCAGTAATGACCCTCGGTTCCGCATCCCCGTCCTCGCCTTTTCTGTGCTGGGTTTCATCGCGTTTCCTGTTGTGGCAGGGTCGATGGCCCAACGAAGTCAATGCATTCCGGATCCATGAAATCGGCCAGATATCCAAATCTAGAAGATCTTCTTTGGTACAGTCGGTTACCCAGACCCTCAAAGTTTGGTCGTGTTGGTGGTGGATGGGGTTTCATGGTTGGTCTATAGCACTGATCGTCTGAGTACGGGGGATAGAAAGGAAATGGATCTTGGGGTGTTTGGTATTGGGAATGTTGGGTGCTTTGGTGATGTGGTGATTGATGGTAAGTTGAGTCGGTTAGTTCATAATCTTTGGAAAATCCCAGACCAGGGCTAAGGTTAGATATTGAGGGGCCCATATTGAGATATGTAGAAGACTGGAATTGTGTGTGGGGCATGCGAGTGTATTGGTATTGTGATTGAAATTGTGGTTGGATGTGAGGCATATGGGGGTATTGGTATTGAGGTGGTGATGAAGGAAAATTGCGATCAAAAGCGCAGCGGAATTTAAAATTTTCCTTTAGCAATCCTTACGAATGAACATGGTCAGTGATAGAAATATTTACCTCTTGTGGCGATTCAGACCTTTGATGTTGTGATCACGAGCGTTGATGAAGAACAACGCCTCTACTCAGTCCACACGAATAGATCGCTTCCGGTTACAGTGCTAGCTGATCACGAACGAAAACCTTGAGTGAGAGAGAGAATCAAAAACGAAATTGCATCAAGTAAAAATTGCTTCATCACAAGGGATCTATTTATAGAATCACTCGTGTGGGCTACAAGCTAAAAACCCAATTAAGGCTATAAGCTAAAAGCCCAATTAAGCTTATGGACATCATACCTTATGATGTACCATATATCACTTATCCACGTGGTACCTTACCACTTTCTGTATTACACTTAAGTGCACCGTATCTTACGGTGTTCCTTATTTATTCTATCTCTCATCAACCTGTCCTTATGTGTGTGACCCTGTAGGTTTTCCCGACGTTGGCAATTATATTAAATCACACATTTAATATAATAAACAGTGAGCAGTATATAGCAACACATCACTGTTACCCAAGTCACGAAAATGTCATGTGATCTGACCAAACCTTTTCCGTGATAATATTTGTGTTGTACAATTACCCTTTTGCCCTCATGTCTATATTGAACACAAGGCATACACTGTGTCACTCTTGTCCAGTTCAATATTGGGCCCTTAGACATTTATCCTATTATGCAGGATGAGAAAATTCCATCTAGGTCACTCATGTCCCTTAGCATGCTTTGTGAAGTACCCATCAACCGTCTTTATAGTCATCCAGTTACGGATGACGTTTGATCAACAATAAAGTACTTGACTCTACATCTAGGGTCCATAGTGGTTTCAGGTCGAAGGGTGGTATACACCATTATCATCATGAGAATAACTTATGACACTTTGCATAACATTCTATGTAGTATTCTCATAGCGGGTCAATCCAGTATAAATATTACTCCTAATATTCATACCTATGTCAAGACTTGATAACTCCTTATCTATGATCCATGAGATGTGATCATCAATCTATCTTCATAATAATCTTAATGCTTTAATGTTATCCCACTTCACATTAAAGCTTGACTACAGATACTTTAAGAATAGTGTCTTATGTTTAATGAGATCTCATGATTAAGTCACACTTAACATTTCATTAAACAAATAAACCATTCTAGGGACTTCATTATTTTGAAAAGCAAACATAATAAAGAAATGCCTTTTATTATTAATAAATAATTCGATACAAGTACCAAAAGTATTGGCCTCTAGGGCTTACACCAACAATCTCCCACTAGCACTAGAGCCAATCAGGCATACCCCTAATACCCATAGATCTAGTATGTCCATCATGCTTCAGCTGCGCAAGAGGCTTTGTTAATGGGTGAACAACATTGTCAAGTGTAGGTACTCTGCATATTTTCACATCTCCCCGATCGATTATCTCTCGAATGAGATGATAACGCCTAAGTATGTGTTTGGATCGTTGGTGAGATCTAGGATCCTTAGCTTGTGCGATAGCACCATTGTTATCACAATAGAGATCAATGGGATCCACAATGCTATGGACTATGCCAAGTTCACTAATGAACTGCTTGATCCAAACAGCTTCCTTTGCTGCAGTTGAGGCAGCAATATACTCAGCCTCGGTTGTAGAATCAACAACTGTATATTGCTTTGAACTTTTCCAGCTCACAGCGCCACCATTTAAACAAAACACATAACCAGATTGCGATCTAAAGTCATCCTTATCTGTCTGGAAGCTAGCATTGGTGTATCCAATTACAGCAAGCTCTTCCTGACCTCCATATATCAAGAATGAGTCCTTAGTCCTTCTCAAGTACTTAAGGATATTCTTGACAGCTACCCAATGAGCATCACCGGGATTAGACTGGTACCTACTAGTTGCACTTAAAGAATACGAGACATCTGGTCGAGTACATAGCATGGAATACATGATAGATCCTATTGCAGATGCATATGGAATCTTATCCATGCGATCCCTTTCTTCCTTACTTGAAGGGGATTGTGTTTTTGACAGACACATGACATGTTGCATAGGTATGAATCCTTTCTTGGAATCATGCATATTAAAGCGTCTCAACACTTTTTCTATGTATGTACTCTGACTTAGGCCAAGCAGTTTTTGTGACCTATCTCTATAGATCCTGATTCCTAATATATAGGCTGCTTCACCTAGGTCCTTCATTGAAAAGCATTTCCCTAACCAAGTCTTCACTTGTTGTAAGGTAGGGACATCGTTTCCAATGAGTAATATGTCATCTACATATAATATCAGGAATACGATCATGATCCCACTAACCTTCTTGTAGACACAAGGCTCATCTTCATTCTTGATGAATCCATATTGTTTTACTGTTTCATCAAAACGAAGATTCCAGCTTCTGGAAGCTTGCTTCAATCCATAAATTGATCGATGTAACTTACATATCTTTTGGGCTTCTTCTGGTATGTCAAATCCTTCAGATTGTGTCATGTACACATCCTCAAGAAGATTCCCATTAAGGAAAGCAGTTTTGACATCCATATGCCATATTTCATAATCATGATATGCAGCGATAGCAAGTAAAATCCGAACAGATTTAAGCATTGCAACTGGTGAAAAGGTTTCATCATAGTCAACCCCATGAATTTGTTTATAGCCTTTTGCAACCAGTCTTGCCTTATAGGTATGTACCTTACCATCCATGTTAGTCTTCTTTTTGAAGACCCACTTGCATCCTATAGGGTTAACTCCTATAGGTGGCTCTACCAAGGTCCAAACCTGGTTTGTGTACATGGAATCCATTTCAGATTTCATGGCTTCTAGCCACTTCTAGGACTCAGGACCAGTTATGGCCTCTTGGTAGGTCACAGGCTCATCTTGATCCATGAGTAATACATCACCCTGATCACTTATGAGATATCCATATCTCTCAGGTTGTTGACGTATCCTGCATGACCTACGCTGGTCTTGTTCTACTTGAGCAGGTTGTTCTTCCACAACTACTTGTGTTTCCTGCTCTAATTCCTCCATAGGTGTATCAATGCTTTGTGGTTCTTGAATTTCTTCAAGCTCTATTTTCCTCCCACTGATTCTTTTGGAAATAAAATCCTTTTCCAGAAAAACTCCAGTTCGAGCGACAAACACTTTGCCCTCAGAAGGATTTTAGAAGTAATACCCTCTTGTTTCTTTAGGATACCCCACAAATAAGCATTTGTCAGATTTGGGCTCAAGCTTAGTTGAAATTTGTCGTTTCACATAAACTTCGCAACCCCAAATCTTCATGTAAGACATATGTGGTTTCTTACCACTCCATATCTCATATGGTGTCTTCTCAACCTTTTTGGATGGAACCCGATTAAGTGTGTAAGCTGCAGTCAATAGCGCATGTCCCCAAAAGGAGTTCGGAAGATCGGCGTGACTCATCATGGATCGGACCATGTCTAACAAGGTTCGATTTCTTCTCTCAGATACACCATTCCATTGTGGTGTTCCAGGAAGAGTAAGTTGGGATAAAATCCCACATTCCTTTAGATGGTCATCAAACTCTAGGCTTAAATATTCACCGCCTCGATCTGATCGAAGAATTTTAATAT